TATATATTCAACAATAAACCTATAGAGTCAGGATAGAGAGGCTGAAGCTTATGGCAACGAAAAGAGAAAAACCTACTCAAGTAGGTTTTTCTCAAGACGGGTAGTGTTTGACGCACCTATCACAAGTTGACTGCTCGTTTCCCAAACTTGTTGTGATTACATCCCAGAGGTATTTCTGTTCATGAGTTCGCTCGGCTTGTCTGCTTCATTCGCTTAATCAGGCTCTTTGACTCTCTTCTATTCATGAGACACTCTTCCATTGTCGGAGATTCGCGTCAGATGACAATCGATAAATTACCTCGGGAGTTGTACACTGTGGTTGGGAAAGTGATCGCCAAATCCGGTGATTTATAATCATATCTTTCTAGCTGAGTTTAAAGTAGAACGTCCGTATATCACAAAGTCATGAAATAATTGAGCTGCGTCTCATAGCACATCACCATTCACATTCGAGAATGCACTCGAAGCCGGAAAGCTATCGATTTTGGCAGTACTTCCGGTAAAAGCGTTGCGAAACAAGCTGTGACAGAAGTGTTTATATCGCTGATTTATGCTACAATGTTCACTCATGGGGAACGAAACAGATTGTTTCCATGCGCATCAAATATGGCGACCCAATAACTCATCTTCGTTCAACTGGAAGCATGACCCGTATATGTGTATGCTTGTTGTCGTAGAGTGATGGATGAATTGAGCAAAACGAATGCTATCTTATCGCTGTCTACCATGAATGCGATACATGCTTGTCCAATTAAAACGAACAAACTTGGTGATTGGTGTAAGCGATTTTCTTATGTGATATACCTGTGCCGAGATTCTCCACGCACACAAACACAGATAGTGAAATTTTGTCCGAGCTCGCATATGCACTCCGGAGATTCACGTTTTGCTAGACAAACAACCCCTTCACACACAAACCAACTAGTTCTTCTCATGTTTGTCAGATCGCGATCAACAATACTACTACTTTTAATACTGACACTGCTCGTTCTGGACGATGGTGCTGACTGCAAATGTGTTCGGTGCACACGTATTCCGCGGTATATTGACGCTACTGACTTCAAATGTCATTCCGCGGTCTATATATCACCTCTATTGGTCCACTGTTTCCCGTCAAAAGGCGAGTAAAGTTATACGTAGTGTGTATAGTGAAATCGATGCTTAACGAACTCAACCGAGTACAGACAGACAGACAGATAGACCGACCCTGTCGTCCGGGCGTCGTATTTTTTTGGATCCAAATCTATCATCTGTGAGCTTTGTGGATTTTCAGACAATGGCACACATTGGCTGAGTTGATAAACGATCGACTGAATGACTCATCGTGCAAAACATGCATATGAGTAACTTCTGAGTGAAAAAAATTGTCCAAGTGTGATACGATAGAATGTTTAATGTTCACCTACCTTAGCCATTTACTCACGTTTTAATCATTCAGTCCGGATGGCCCATGTGGTTAACGCGTCGCATTAATAAGCATCAATAATTCGGTTTCGAATACGGGTGGATTCGGGGGAGATGCACTGTAGGAAATTCTTTACAAGGAAGAAACGAGCGTGCAGTGCCTCCGAGGCTTTTCGGGGATAAGTGACAGGTTGACTCTGCTTGACCAATACACGCTGAATAGCAATTCAATATGGTGGTTGATACTAACGAAATGTATTTTCAAAACCAATCTTTTTTCTGTTTCATTTTTCGGCCATAGATTCCAGAAAGAGTTGTCACACCTAAATATATTATTCCGGCTCGAAAGGGTAATCAGCCAAAAGAAAAAACTGTGAATCAGTGTCGTTCGGACAGCGAGTTGAATTGCCAGATCACCCTTCTAATCTCATGGAAGATGCGAACGGGCTTTGTGATGATATTGGATTCGCTTCGTCACTCTTCTCAACCCCCCTCACCGTTCGAACAGAAAGTCGCGATCCAGGCGAAAAATAGAGTAAGACATCGTGTATTGGAGAAAAGGGGTTGATGATCAATTGAAAGTACAGGATATTTGTGACTAGAGTTAATAAACATGGATTGAATAGCATGTTGCTCGTACGAATGATCTCTCGGCAGTCAAATCAAAGTAAAAAGTCATCTCATCAGTCAAGGGATTATTACAGTTTTGTCAGCTTTATTTCTTTTTAGTTATCGCACGGAGAATAGCTCCTCATGGTCACGCAACCACGTCTTTTTGTGTTCTTGTGAAACCGTTGAGTTTCTTTGATTAAAATGATTTCAGTTTTTGGAGGCTGATCAATCAATAATAGAATGATATTCATCCTTCGAATGCACTGAAGATTTTTTCTCCAACCTTTTAACTATGTATTTTCAGTCCATATTCCCTATGTTTTATTCATAAGAATTTGCCGGGACTCGAACCGCAACACGAGGGGTTTTCAATCAAAAGCACTTTCCCTGTTTGCTTCGTATCTTTAGCCTCGTCTCTGTCCACTCTACTTGTTTAATCTTCCCTCAAGTTATATGATGTTTTATTTAGATACGCTATTTCAAACAGAAAAGTATCCTTTCAGTAACATCTGGTTGTGCCCTCTCGATTTCCGGTTGTTCTATTGTCATCTCCAACTCCAGTTTTCTTTACCAATTGCTTCATTATTCATTTCATGGTGCTTGGATGTATATATATGTTTTGTATAGAAACAGTCGCTGACGGTCAATATACACCATTTCGCCAAATACAAACTTCATTTGACTTCCTACATTCCTTTGGCTAACTAAGAGCTCGCTTGGGCGCTTTTTGTTTCTCTCCGGGGACCTGGTTTTCTCAGCGCAGAGCTAGGTTGCTGACCTCCCTACCACCGTGATCAATCTCACTAGCCTAATCTTTATATCAGCATCCACCTCTATGCACTTCATGCCGGAACGAGTTTTCCAGCCCAGGCAATTCAATTAACCGCCACGCTTCGCTCCATTCCGCTTCTTCTTCGCGCTGCCACCGGCTTTACATCCTTTTTCCTCACCTTCCCTCGCGCTCTCCCACTCTTTGCCCTGCTCACGGACCTGGTTGTTCTCGCCGGTTTGTCGCGTCTTGTTGCTGCTGCTGCTACTGCCCCGTCCGCCCCCTCGGAAGACACTTCATAACACTGAAGCAGTAGTCTAATGTGGTTGTAATGTGGTGCGCGCGCGCGCGGTCCACGCATACACGCAAATAGGCCACTGAGAACGCGATCTGTCATATCGAGTGTTTTGCAACTGCGATGTGTGATCAACCGTACGATTATGTATGTAAACATCATGCAATTTTTTGATGGCACAATGTATACATAAATCCACATTTGGATCAACTTCCAGTCGTGGGAGCTTGTTGTTTTTGCTGGTGCCGTGGTTGGTGTTGATGTCTTCTTCGCGTGAACTGATAGTCATTCGCGGGCTTCTCTTGCTTTGATCCGATTTTCTTATTTGATCGGTGTTCTTGAGGTGTGTGTGCGCGCGTGCGCTCCCCAAATGCGCGCATGTGCCAATTTATGTGGTTACTCTTTTCACATCTGATCCACAATTTGCCTAATTCGACCGAGAGTTGTTTCTGTTCAGAGAAAAAGTAAACGCCCCAGGCCAGTGATTATTCTGCGGATTGGGAAAATCTCATTCTCGTTATGATGTTGTCAAGGTCACTGCTTGGTCCTCTATGCTTCTCCCACCCCTGATCACATTTGAAGCTTCTCGATGTGACTGACTACGGATCGATCGGGCACTTGTTTTCCCGTTAGACTAGCCAGAAAGAGAGCGGTGAAATAGTTCACGGACAAGGAATTTCATAGTTATCACTAACCCCACCTTCACGGACAATGCCAGATCAGCTTTGGAGTTCCAACAGAAAAAATAACATAATCCCAGAGTCTGTGCTTATTCTGCTGGCGTCCGATTCCTCCATGAGGCGAATAAAACCACGATCGACACTTCATCCTCCAATTAACTTTTATTTAAGTCACGTGATTTTAGCAAAGCGATAAAGACTTTCGGTGTTTTTTACGTTTTCTATTTTTATAGTAACTTTGACTTCATTTAAACGAAATCAGTCAAGTCAAGAATATTCTTTTAAAATGCTGACGAAGTGAGCACTGCTTGATCCAAGTTGTTCATCAACTACGGGCCTGTTGTCATTATAGTCTTGAATTATCACAAAATACATAGAGTGTGAGCAGAACTGAAATCAATCGCTAGAATATGATGTTTCAACCCAGAACGAGTAGAATAAACTCTGTTTCATACTGCAAAAGATCAGGAAAAAAGTAGAATACCAGACCGTGGGTCTTCTAGAGGACTCAAAACAGAAAATGTTTTCCAACTATTTGCTTTAGTGTTATCTATAAATTCCACTGTGCTAGACTCAACATACAGGGAAGGAGTGCAAATTCAGTGTGGGTGGGGAGAGAGAGAGAGAGAAAGAGTGAGGTGAGTAGTATGACTGGTCTGAAAGCAGAATCGTCCAGTTTGTGAGGCGGATTAATCTAGAGATGTTCGTCTTTTTGCCAAATTCGTCCATCTGTGGGCGATGTTTCCCCCCAGAAACAGCCGTCTCCGCGGCAGCTTTTCGTGTTGTTAGGCTCAAGTGGTTACATCCTGTCCGTGATTTGGCAATAAATGTACGCAAACCAGGCTGGGTGATGTCAAGTTAGGTCAGTTTTTGATTTCGCAAAATCATGTTCACTTTTGAAATCCTCTTGACCACTGTTTTCATTCCTTGTTGTTCAATCAATTTTTTCCGCTTGTACCCTTCGCTTCATACCACAAAACAGTGTCTGTCAAATGGCATGGTGAGCATCTTGTTGTCCCTGTTCTTTTCGCTTCAAATTTCCCATGTGTTCATTCAATGAATCTGTGAAAGATGGATTTGTATTTGAATAGAGTTCGCACTAAAAACGAACTATCTGATTCATTGTCGTCGTACTATATTTTTGATTTATTATGCCACACGAATCATTTTTATGAGTGCAAACCAAATAATTCCTAGAATAAAACAAAACTCGGGAAAAGATATCTTTACGTTGCACTCACATCCCGCAGATCTTCCCATAATTTAGGCTGGCTGTTTTTCTGTTGTTCGGCTCAATACTGCTCCTTATCACTTTAATGCTTTATATGGTTCACCTGTGGTGAACCATAACTGAGTCCTAGTTTCCCGTAACTGTGATCCGTTTTTTCTACTACTTGTCACATAATCGTGACTCGACCCACTTTTTATGAAATGATATTCCCGAAAAATCGATGAAACCTGAAAGAGCAGTTTGTGATTGGGAAACTTGTGGTTGTCACCATGTGCATCCTGTGCACCGCGAAAACCTGATCGCAAAGAGACGTCGAAAGCGTTTGCAAATTCAATGCCATTCACGGGTATCGTTATTAACGTGATCTATCCCTCGGTATTGGGGTGGGGGCTCGAAAACGGAACGTGAAACGAACTTGATGATGATGTGGATCTACTCACTTATGCAATGACGAGCATGCGATTCCATCGAGTGCAGGTGACGAGTCGAACTCAAAGCCAATTGGTATCTGTATAAACTTGACCGAAGTAGCACAGTAATTATTCCTGATGGGATGAAAACAAATGTGTGTGTACGGTTCCGGGTCCTGAGTAACGTTCCATTGCATTATCTGATCCGGGTCAAGTGTATTCCGAGCTACGTTAATCACCTTTAGGTCAAATACGTGATCCATATGCGCAACAGATGAATGAAAACCATCCGTGTTTAGATTTTGCTCTCTTTACAGAAGTGTATTCATCAGACAGCGTCAACCTATCACTAGCCATCAAAAAGTCCTAAAACATTGTACAGATGTTTTATACCTGTTTGGGTTCGTCAGCAATGCATATCCTCCAGCCTACGGTGATTGTAACCCAGGCGGGCAAGTTGCTGAGATCCAGCCCGAGTTCGATTCCCAGTGGATTCTATGGATATGCATAGTGCTTGTGATTCCTAACAAGAGTGGAACAGTCGTACAGTATAGACAAGGCTATCCAGTGATATTGGCGTGAAGCATTGTCTTTGCTTGACGAATACGCCATCTCCAAAGCAGTCGGAAATAAACTTAAAATTTGCTTTTCAGCTAAACAAGTAGCATATTTCGGTGTAGCTCCCGGGGTAAGGGTTTGAAGTCCCAACCCAAAAGTTCACGGTTCGAGTCCTGATAGGGACACAAAAAGTACGCACTGCTGACGAGTCCCAAACAGGACGAAACAGCTGTCCAGTTCTCGGTTATCACAAATATTTCCATCGCATGTAAATGCATTCAACTAGTGGGGAATTAACGATCTCGCATGGAGTGAAACCCATACCCCAGACCATTAAGAGTGCCTGATGCCTCCGAACAATCGAATGGGCTAATCAAAGTTTGCTACTTGAAAATATTATATTTCACATTCAAATATGGTATGTTCATCTACCACAATGAATTCACCAATTCAGTGTGTCTTATTTTTATAAAATCGATTTTTGAACTATAGACGGACATCCCATTCTACACTTTAATCAAAACACTTCTGAATCTATGCAGGACGGAAAATACCCCACCTACTTTATTTTTGCGACAACCAAAAGATTGATGCCTCACAATTGGAGCAAATAAAACCGAATCTCACACGAAAGCTAGGTTTGATTGGGCTATAGGGTGCAGCTTATCGCGCTGTTAGCAGTAGGAATCTAATACCTCGGCGAAGAATCACGTGGCAGACGGCTAGAAGTTTTGTGGGAATCGGCAGTGCACTGGTTTATTCTGATTGTCCGAGGTGACAGGTTGGTACGCGTATAAAATAGAACACAGACCACCAGATACATCGATCTTATTATCTTGGTTAGCCAAAGGACAGCAACGAAAACTGACGCACGAAAGTGTACGGTGAATAGATTTATAAACTGAAACTAATATTGGAGAGGAATATCCATAGTGAAGATTATTGTCGTATTCCGAGAAACGGGTTGGATGGAGTGGGGC